TCGGTTTAAGTCAATTTAGTCTTTAGTTGAGTTTTCCAGAAATATTTCCGAATTTAAGGGAGATAGCGAAATTTTCATAATAACCTTTTTTGTAGAGCGAATTAAGTGCTACTAAAAAGGTCATGAGAAAAATTTTGCTATCTCCTTTAGATTTCGGGATATGAATTGAAAACTAGCCAATAACCAAAATCGATTTACACCGTTTAACCACTTCGCTTGAATTAGTTCTGCTGAAATATTATATGTTTCCCTGAAAAGACCTTTTGTCGCATTGAATCAATTTACTTGTGTACAAAAAAGAAAGTTTCCACCAAAACATGATAATTTACGCAGTAGTAATTGCTTTTGTGAGACATTTATATGTCTTTCGGATAAATACATTCAGTCTCCAGAGACTTTTTTGAGGTTCCGGCTTTATCAAGTGAATGTTATTGAGTAGTGTATGTTTTTGTCCAATAAACACATAATTTCCATGAAACAAATGATAATTCCAAGAGGAAATTACAATTTTCTTATCGAAAACTGTGTTATTGGCAAAACTAAATAATTGCGAGGGGACAATTTTTTTTGGGAAAAAAAATATTCTCTTCTCGTCAATGTATTCTTTTTGTGGTATAAACCTATGGAGTTCTCTCAGACAAAAATTTAATTTTTGATTATTAATAGAAATTAATGATGATGAAACGTCCATAATTCAGTAGTGAAGTGGTCAAACGATTTAAGTCAATTCCATTCTAGCGCCAGTTTTCGATGAATATCTCAAATTCTAGAAGAGTTAGCAAAATTTTCATGAAAATCTTTTATGTGAAGAAAAGTGAAGACTATCGAAAAAGATTTCACAAAAATTACGCTATCTTTTTTAAATTCCGAGTTATTCAACAAAAATTCAACTGGGAACTAAGTCGACTTAAACCGATTGACCACTACTGAATTGATCTTCTAAATGGCGTTGTCACCTCTCCGCACCCGCATCCTCTCTCGAAAGAGAGGAATAACAATGAGAAACCCAAAACTGCCCCTTCTGCACTCAAATCTCCTCATATTTCCCCCAACTCCACTCGTCATCCAGCAGACACAGAGGCGTACAAAGTGTCTAGTCGTGTTCCTTCGCTCCACGGTGGAATATAGAAGTCACTTCAGAAACACTCGTGACCTAAGCGGATTCAAGTCCACGATAAACGTAGGTGTAAACGGGATTTAGAACATGATAAAATCGCTCTGACTGCTGGATAATCTCTTGTCTTGACGACTCTCGGCTTTACTCGTTTCCAGTTTTTGATCCCCTGCCATCATGCTGCATTTTGTGTGCTCTACAACTGGAAAATGTTCAGCAGAGTTTTTATCGTCCTCTGTTTCATGCTACCATAAATTTCGAGAAATAATTTCATTGCTGAGGTACCAATCTCTCAATGCAGTGGACACAATACGCATAAAAATAAAAGTGCAACGATTTAGTCAATTCAAAATTGATAATTGAATAATCGATATCAATGATATATTTTTTTTCATTTTATAAGCAAATAAAAATCAATGGGTTGTAAGCAATTGAAAATATCTGCACAACAATTTTAAATGTTTTTTTTTCATGAGATTTCAGCCGCACTTTTTGAACATTTTTATCAAGTGACGGTTTCACTGAAACTCCACGGAATTTCAGAATTGCAAAATTCGCAATTTCATTAAGAAAGTATAAAAAACTGCATTCATTTGGAATCAGATGATTTCAGTTGAATTCTCTAGAATAAAAATTCATAGAAGTCAACAAAATTCTACATAATTTTGTACCAAATATTCATATTCCGATTGAAAATTCAAACATGTTGGAGAATTGTCACGTCATATGACAGACAATCGCTTAAAATCTCAATATAAATTCTCATTTATTCATGATTTTTTCAAATAAAAAAAATGCATATTCAACATTTTCATCCAATTCTCATATTTTTTTCAACGAAAAAATTTTATGCAAAAATGCAATTTTCCACAGTATTATCTCGCCGTCGTGTAATGTCAATTTTATTCACTCCAAATACGTCGAGTCAAATGAAGTTATTGGTCTACCCGATCCATACTATAAACCTGTGTCCCTCCGAAGGAAGCACTGTCTACTCTCAATAACCCCCGAGCTTATAAATTTCAAACAATGAGACGAGACTAGAACTCGATTATAGGGCGATAAATTGTGGAACGCAATTCCAGGGGGTGAATTCGCTCGGCTATGAGGTGCTTGAATGACGTCCACGAGTCACAAATATATTTTATAAGAACAAGCGAGGCGCCCAGACGAGTTCAGGGGGATGACAATATAGATACGGAGGTGCTGATATCAAATTTCATTCGCCATGCATCGTATACCACCGGTGGTTCGTTGCACTGAGCCAACAGAATTGGATCGTTATGATTTTTGAATATGTCACGAATTTCCATAAACATTATCTCGGTGGGGTTTGCATTTAGAAGGTTAAATGTACACATTACATGTTTGGTTCACTGTAGAGGATATTTGGGTACTCAACGCGGCTCAGTTAACTCGTTGATAGTGTGAGAGCTGCCATTGAGATGAAACTCGCAATGTTACTGGGGTTATCCATTCGGGAGAGTAAATTAGGAAAATCATGCTGTGTATACACTACTGGGAATCTTGGCAATATACCGTCGCATCTATTATTTCGGCCTGATGATCAGAATTATAAACGTTATTACGGATTTTGTTCTGTATTTTTGGGTTGGAACTTCAATTGCACCCAGATTTTTTTGCAAATCGGATTATTTTCGTGTGTCTACAGACCAGAAAGATTTTCCAAAGTCTATAAATTAACTAGTCATATAACAACGCATATTTCTCATCAATGTTGTCAACTATACAATTTTTGCATATTCATATTTGCAATATATACTAAACAAATGCGTCACAGATATCACAGATATCCACATGTTATAAACTCTCATATAAACTACTCCACTAAATTTTACACAATACAACTATAGTTTTTATTCACCCAGAAGACAAGTTCAATAGCTGACAGCTTACTATTTCGATCAAGCGTAGGAAAATCGCATTTAGAAAAATCGTATGGTGCATACACTGCAGTCAATATACCTGATGATGAGAATTATAAATATTACTACGGATTCTGTTCTGTATTTTTGGGTTGGAACTTCAATTGCACCCAGATTTTTTTGCAAATCGGATTATTTTCGTGTGTCTACAGACCAGAAAGATTTTCCAAAGTCAATAAATTAAATAGTCATATAGTAACGCATATTTCTCTTCAATATTATCAACTATACGATTTTTGCATATTCATGTATGCAAAATATATTAAACAAGTGCCTCATGAATTCTCACCTATTTATGAACCCACATCCATTACCGCGAGTCCCCGAATTTTCCCCACTTGGCAAACTTTGTTGCACAGATATCCGCATGTTATAAACTGCACCACTAAATTCTAGAGACTAGCACTATAATTTTTAATAATTAATGATAATAAATTGGTTAATAATAATAAGGAAGGCAAATTCCGTAGCTGACAATTTACCATTTCGATCAAGCATTTCACGGAAAGAAACTCATTATTAGAAAAATCGTACTGTGTGTATACTACTATACTACGGATAATTTTGGCAATGTACATATCTATTATTCCGTTTTTTTAACGAGAATTATAAACGTTATTACAGATTCTGTTCTGCTTTTTTGTTATGAAACCTCAATTTTGCCTAGATTTTTTCGCAAATTCTTTCATTTTCATATGTCTATAGACCAGGAACATTTTCCAAAATATATAAACCAAATATTCATAGGGGAGAGTCGGGCAAAATGGGACGTTTCGTGATCTTCTCTAGTTGTCAATATCTTACTGATAAATGAAAATATTGACTACTGGAAAAGATCTCAACATGTCCCATTTTGCCCGAGCCTCCCCTATATTAGTACATATTTCTCTTCAATGCTATCAATTATGCAAAATTTTGCATATTCATGTATGCAAAATATATTGAACAAGTGCCTCATGAATTCTCACCTATTTATAAACCCACGTCCATTACCCCGGGTCTCCAAATTTTCCACACTTTGCAAACTTTGTTGAATAGATATCCGCCCGTTATAAACTACTCCACTAAATTCCACAGAATACCACTAGAGTTTTTGTTCACCCGGAAGACAAATTCCATAGCTGACAATGTGCCTCCTGATTAAAAATAAATGCGAAAAACCCTCCTAAATAGTTCACCCATAATCAATAATAATTAACTGGCCTCCCCCAAAATTGATTAATTTCTTGATAAAATTAATTGAATTTCTCGGGGTAATTGGAATATCAGTTTCGAGGAATTCGTCAAAATTAGTATTTTATATTCTCAGCAATTATTCTATTTTTCGAAATATAGAAAACCTATCATAAAACACATGACGTAAATCTGAAAATATATGACATTTTAGAAAGTTCAGAAGTTCATGAAAGGAATATGCACATATAACTCTAAAATATTCCTCTTCTATTCATGGGCAATATAATGAACAAATGCCTCATAAATTATCCCCCAGTTATAAACGACTCGCCTGAATTCCCCAGAATTCCACTGTAATTTTTACCCCTTACAAGATAAATTCCATAGCTGATAATTTACCCTTTCGGTCAAGCGTTCCACGGAAAAAATCTCTTGACCAAAAACAAACAAGAAAAATCCACACGGAGAGAAATATTCAGTAAAAATTACGGAACTCATAATTCACTCACCGATTACGGAATCGACTCAGAAAATTTAAGTCAGGGTATCATAATTTTTCACAGGAGAGTCAGATAAAAATTACGGAACGCTCTGGAAAAATTCCGTGACAGTTTCATTAAATTTCCTACAACCTCATTTCGCTCCGGAATTACGAAAAATATACGTAATTTCTATTGAATATTTTTCTCCGTGCACGCAAATACTTCATCGATAATCAATAATAATTAACCTGCCTTCCCCTAACTTTAATTGAATTTCTCTAGGTGATGGAAACGTCAGTTTGGTGGAATTCGTAAAAATCGTCAGCAATATTGGAAATGCCAGTGCAGCACAGCAGACAAACCTCAGCCAAGAGGAGCAAGAAGAGCAGGAGCTCCGCGATGCATTTCGGGTATGTGCATAAGCCCATTTACATTTTTTAATTACCCCTCTTCGGTACTGAAATTCACTATTTATCACTGTAAAGAGTGCGAACGAATATGAGCAAAGCGAACAATTAGTCTCACGCGCAGAGATGGATTTGAGACTATAAATTATGAGGGACAGCCGTCCACTGCGTGCGAACGAAGATTTATGCATTGACTGATGCGAATGGCTCTGGCTGGTGAGCTTTGAAAACCTTGACAGCTTGCATGGTGGCGAAAAGAATTATTCTGGACAATTAAAGTGGATATGAGGGATGTTTCAGTCTCGGTGACACTTGACAAGACGTTGAATTGTCTTTTCAGGGATTTTTGACGAAATATGGAATCAAGTGAAACATATCCTGGGATTTTTTTCGAGGGGAGACAGTAGCGTAATTAATTTTAATGTTAGGAATGAATGAACTACTACTTGTCAAAGAATTAAACAAAGAAAGGGTGATTCTAGTAATTTAATTTAACGATTGCTAAAAAATATTTCGAAATATATTAGCAATGAGACATGCAACAGAAAGGGGGGAAATTCAATTAGAAGATTGAAATCAATTAATTTACATGATTTATAAGAATTTTCAAACATAATTTAGTGTATTGATAGTAATATTTACTCAGCATTTATGCAGGGAACTTAATAGAGGTTTCGCAAAATCATCTTGGGGTTGGTTGAAGGCAAATAATCAATCTCTCGACAGTTTTCTTGACGATTCATTAGTGAGTCTTCAATTGAACAATGCAACACTGTTAATTAAAAGGCAGTCAAACTTGCTCAAGGATATCCAAGTACTTTGGCTATTTCTTCTCCAGTGAAATGTTTTTCTATTTTTGTAGCCAAACTTCAGAGCTTTTATTTAAGCTCCATTTGACGCAAATTTTCCGGACATTTTACAATGATTTTATTGTTTAAACTTTGCGGGTATGAATTTGAATCTCGATATTGAACTGTTAGAAAATATTATAAATCACTGGAAAAAAATTATAAAGTGTACTTTTGGAGGAAGATTGCAATTTTTGAAAATTACGAATATTTCTCCTGATATTTCAAGTAAAAAATCGTGACATTTTTAACAATCACCCATTCACACGAAATTTTCATGTATTTTGAAAATTCAGGTGGATGTGATGTTCGATTTCCGCAATGAATTTCAAAATTCTAGATGTCATTGAAAACTCAAGTGCAACTATTGCTTAAATATCAAAGAATTTCTAGCAGTGAAACAACAAATGTATAAAAAATCATAATTCTGTACAACAAGTAGTTGGATCGACGCTGAATATATAATATGGTTCAATCTATACTGTGGTCTGTACCAAACTGTGAAAGATACTTGGATATCCTTAATTAAAACGCAACAAAACTTCTGCAATTATAAGGTTTAACATTGATTATTTGAAATTCCTTATAATAAATTCACAATTATATTAGATATTAGACTCCATAACAGATAGTTGTGTTTTCTTACTTCATTTATTTTTCATTATATCTCAAACCGAAAAAAAAATAATTTCACAAAAATTAACTTCAATTACAACTATTGTTAAGTACTCGATAATTAAAGATAAATACCCACCCTCATCTTCCCTACAATCAGCTGCGCAGGAAGTTAATCCGCTTTGGTAGCATTAGTACAAGAAAAATTGAATGAAAGACCAACTAAAATTCTGAAAAATACTTCTCGTGAAGAAGATCAATTTGACGTAGACTCTGTGCCATTAAAAATAAATTAATTAAGCCCAATGTACTTTCTCGAGTTTCCCGGCATCGTGACTGCTGTAAGGAAAATAATATCATCAGGCGGGATTTAATGGGTCCAATCTGTTATGGAAGGACAATTAAATCTGTGCAAATTAAACGATAAAGCGAAGTCTGAGGGATGGGAATATAAAGTGCCGGTTTTTGATACTAAAAGCCGAATAGAAGGGTGGGATTCAGGGAGCCACAAGAGCGGTGAATTCAACTATTTGTGGGCCATTCGGAAGTTTTTTAATTTCATTGTGGAGCTCAGGCTTGGGTATTGATGATGACAATTAATTTCCGAGTCGCCTGGAATCGCCCTCATTACCACCATCAATTTACTGATATTTTCGTCGTCATCGGGGATAACGGAGTTATGAAATCAGGTCGTTATTCGAATAATTGGCATCTGAAGATCGTGAAGAAAACTGGGGGATGGCGACGCATTGGAAACGTGGGGAGAGGATCAAGGAATAATTTATGTTTCATATTTCTATTTCGCTGAGGGATATTTTATTGGCTGAATTATGGAGATACGAATGAATTCTGGATGTGTTCGGGGAAACCACATGAATGATTAAATTAATGAAATCGGTGTTGAATGAATGTTTTTTTTTGTCACAGGGGAATAATTTTTCATCGACGTCAATGCGAGACTGACAGGAATTTAACGGACAAAACTGGCTAGTGGACTTTTTGAGAATTTTCGTGACTGGAAATTCACTTTTTGGGAAATTTCGTAATTGGGAAATCAAAATTTAGTGGAGAAACCAATGAAAACTGTGAATTTCACTTCAATTATTCCCTTACAATTGATAGAATCAGGACGAGAATAAAATAGAATAGAATAGAATTCTCATTTTTCTGCTGCTCAAAAGGGTGAAATTTCGAAAAAAAAATTCTAAGAGAATTAGACTTTAGAGAGAAAAAATTTCCGCT